CCCCTCCTGGCCTCCTCCAGCATCCTCCCCCCCAACCTGCCCCCCCCAAGCTGCAGCCAGCGCTGCCCCCCACACCCCACGCTCCAGCTCAGGGCAAATCCGGCTCCTTTCTCCCCCAAAGATCCCACAGAGACCCTGTCCCCGCACAAAAGGGACAGAAACAGAGCGGGGATGGATGTTTCCCCCCTCCAACAGGCATTTTACAAAACTCTTGGCAAACACTTGAAACGCTGCTGTGCCCGGGCAGCTGAGGGCTCTGAACGGGCTCGGCCGCTTCAATTTTGTGTCCTCCACAACCCCAAAAAGTATTTAATATCTTCAAGAGAAACTGAGCTCTCAATCCCCTTCAATCACTCTCCCAGGGGACCGGCAGCAAGGCTCATCCCACTGCACCAGTTGCCCCTTTAGCCCTTCCCACTAACCCCAGTTGCCTGTTTTTTCCTGAGAAAGGCCTTTGGCAAAAATCTTAAATGAAATGTAAAATCCCCTCCCCAAAACCACCGACCCAAGATATTGCTGTCAGCTAAATCTCTTCCAAAAAATAATACTTGAAAATTATTGCATTGCCTGAAAATGTCCATTCTTTGCTCCATCTTCCTGTTTCAGCCTCCTTGAGCTCACGTCCAAACGCAATGGGATCAAGAAACATTTCCCTTCCATTAATAGGAGGTGAAAATAGAGGGTCGGTTATTAATTAACAGAACCATTAGTGACTTCCCATCCTTGCTGGTGGCCCAGATGAGTTCCTGCTGCAGGTCAGGGGGAGATGATCCCCCTTTCCCTTATTTCCAATGACAATTCCCAAAACCATCGAGAGATTGGAGACAGCCACAGTAGTCAGAGAATTTTTCCTCCCAGAAATACTGTTCTTGCTGCAGAAAATTTAAATTTTTCATCACTCTCCCATTAGAGGGATTAAATCTCCCTTCCCCCCCCACCCCCACCGCATGGGATCCCCATTTCTTTTGGCTCCTCTGAAGATGTGGCCCCAACAGAGTCTGATATTGGAGTCTGGGGGCATTTGTACACGGGGCGACGCACAGAGCACGTGTGCACACGCGTGTGCGTGGGTACATGCACATTGCCAGGACACTCACATTCCCCCCAGCACCTGGGCAGCCCCTTCTCCCTCACCATCTCCCAGGCTCCTCAATTCAAACACCCAACAACTGCATATTTTCCACCCAAATCTGGTTTTCAGCTGCATTTTTGCTGGCTTGGGTTTCTCGAGGAGCATTATTGGTGGCTCCAGCTTTTTCAAGCCTTGGTTTGAAAACAAGAGCTGAGGGAGGAGGCACATATTCCCCTGTTTGCCCGATGCACACGCCCAGCAGCAAGAATTAACGCAGGTTTAATTCAGTCTTGATTTTCCAATTTGTCCTTACGGGAAGGTGCCCTCAGCCAGCTCCTGCCTTTTCCAGAATGACACCCACCGGTGAGTCGAACCTGGGCAAAAACAATAACATGCCACCCACTCTCTGCAGTTAAGACAAGCACCCTATACTTAAGGTTATTTAGGAAGCAGAGGCACATTCATGCCAGTGGAAAGTGCTGGATTAAAAAAAGCAGCTCCTGTGTCATTGTGGACCATCTGGCTGGGAAGGGGGTGACTAATTGCACCGCACAACGCAACATCTAAAAATATAACGCAGCACGTTGAGAAAGGCCAAGCAGAGAAGTTAAGTTTGATGAACTTCAACTGCTCAATCATTCCGAGTCACCAGGGATGGAACATCTGTGCAGAAGGGGCTGTTGGGCGTTGGAATGGGCTGCCCAGGGCAGGGGGGAGTCCCTGGGATCCCTGGGGGGGTTGAAGAGTCGGGCTGAGCCAGCGCTGAGGGATCTGGGGGAGTTGGGTTGATGGTTGGACTGGATGATCTTCAAGGTCTTTTCCAACCTAGACAGTTCTGTGATTCTGTGAACATCAGGTGAAAATTTCATCACGGGTGACCCCAAACACACCTGGGGTGGATTTTCACGTCATTTTGGGCAATCTGGTGCCTCCGTGCACCTGCGACACGGCGCAGCAGCGCAGCTGCCTCGGCACGGCCGCTCATGGAGACCAACCCTGCACCACGGTTGCTTTGACTCTTGAAAAAAGACATCTGTGCTTGTGATTATTAAATTAAATTTACCGGACATGCTTTCAAAGCAAGTACCACTGGGCTGGTTTTCTTCCTTCCGGCAAATTCTGGATGGCTGTTACAGTTTTATACCAAATAAATTTATGGCTCTTCTTGTTCCAGTTTGCTTTCTGATCCGGCGCTTCCAGTAACTCAGCATGCTGGGAAAACAGATTTTCTTCCAGGCCCTGTAGAGGAGTACAAAACACTATAAAATCATCCCACCGCCTAATTAATTTGAGGAGCCACAGGAGAAAACTTGGAGCTGAAGATGCCAATGGGAAAGTTGCACCATGACATGAGAAAATCCACTTTGACCTTCAGTGAAATAAAGGTTTCGCTTCTGCCCCAGGGCAGAAAGCAGCTCCAGTATCTGTGTGAATGGAGGAACCAGGCTCAAAGCTGTGGTTCTGAAGAAAGAAGTCGTAGGATTTATCTTGGAAAAAAGCTCTCAGAGAAATGGCTTTGCCCCCCACAAACCCAGGGTTAGCCAGTGCCCATGGTGCTGTCGGGCCGGTGCCCTGCCCTGTGCACATCCTGGGGACATACAGATGTTTGTCATCAGCTCTGCCGTGGTCACAGCACATTCATAAACGCGGCTCTATTTCTGGGAAGAGACTTGACTCATGGCTATTATCTGCTGAAGACAAGATGATGGAGCTGGAGATTGCAATTAGTCCTGATCTGTGCAGGCAGAGGAGAATCTGCCCATCAATTTCAGTGCAGGTTGCTTCAAACGCGGGATGCCACATCCATTTCAGAAGCAACTTGCAAAACAAAGGCCTGAGATGAGGTTTCCCCCCTTCAAAAAAAAAAAAAAAAAAAAAAAAAAGGGCCAAAAAAAAAAAAAAAAGGCCTATTTGGGGCTAATCTGTGCTTTGTGCCTCAGTTTCCCCACCTCTGCAGGTGAATTCTTTTGCAAAACACCCGGACAGCCACTGACAGAGAGTGCTACACAACTACCTACAGGTGCTGTTAATGAACAAATATAATCTCAATTCTGGTCGCATGGCACCCTCACGTTACTTGCTCCTGCTATTCAGGGCAAGACCAAAACCTTGCTTGAGAGTAAACCACAGCCCAGCAAGGTTCACCCAGGCTCTGGCGAAGCACCAGCCGCAGGACCAGACGCTGCAGCCTCTGTATGGCCCTGTCACACCCAGCCACCGCCTCCCCGAGCCATTTGTTCAGAAGAACGTTTCCCCAAGAGACCAGACCGAAGGGCAGGACAGTAACACACGTGTCAGTCGATCCCTGCACTGGGGGAGCCCCTCCGGGCTCTGCTGCTCTCTGAACACAGCGGGACCCCAGCCAGGAGAGCCCAGCCCATTCCCACCGGTGCTGATAAACCTCTTCCACCTGGAGAGGGATCAATTAAACTGAGGTTTTATTGAGGAGTGAGAAGAGCTCTCGGTTATGCCCTTCCCGGTAACACACGTGGAAGGCGCGATCCAGTCGGTGCCATCACGCCGCTGAGCCCCTCTCAAAAGGCCAGTTCAGGTTCAGTGACTATGAAAACGTTGTGATTCTCCCACCCAGCGTTCCACGTTCTTGGAAAAAGCTGATATGACTTCTCAAGCAACCTTAACTATTTATGGAAAATTCATTTCCATCCAATTAAAAGTGAATTCTGAAAAAATTCCATTTCCCATTGAGTTACAGCTCCCCTGCCCAGCCCCACACGCATCTGGACCCCAGGACAGAAGCGGCTTCAATATCCACAAAGCTCAACAAGCCAAAACACACCCAGAGCCCTCAACCAGTGCATCCAGCAGCGCACCAGGGACCACATTTGGGAGGCCACTGGATTACGCGGAAGGGGAACATGGCCTGAGCAGGCTCCACTCAAAGCCAGCGGCAGGATCTCGTGGAGGTCCAGAGCCCATCACACTGACCAAGGTACAAATAAGTGAATTTCTGCTCTCAAAGACAAGTCCTACTTCATGTGGGCTAAGACGTGCTTTAAATAGTCCACTTGGCCCGCTGCACCCGCAGGGAAAATCTGCTGGCAGATGTCACAAGTCTGAGCATCCTCAGAGGCAAGGACGGTGCCTTGCCCCAGAGTGCCGTCCTCCAGCACCCAGCCCGGCGTCCAGGACGTCTGCGGGGAGCGAAGGGGAAAACGGTCAGTGGGAACGGCAGAGCAACCTCCTTCCAAGCCCCCAGCTGTGTCCAGCCTCCAGCCCAGGGTCCTGCCATGCCAAAGCGCAGCTTCCAAACGCAGACACTGTGGTTTTGTGCCTGCAGAAAGGCTGGGCTAAGGGCTGCTCCCCCGAGCTGGAGTCTGAGGGAGTCCGAGTCCCCCCTCACTTCATCCTCGCCAAAATCCAGCAGGGGATCCTGTCTCTGTACAGCACCTGAGCATTCCCCATCACCCATCTCTTATCCCTCAGCACCTACAATCACTATCCAAGACAGAACATGAGAAAAGTGCTTTTGCAAGAAGCAAACTGGAGCACATTTGTAATTTCCTTTTTGTGCCATTATCATTTAAGTGCTGATAAGGCACATTAAGGCTTTACCAGACAGACACCTCTTTCACTTCTTTCTTTTTTCGCCTTCTTCCTAAAAAGAAACTAGCTTCTAAATATAGCCCAGGCTCAAAATCGATATCTTTCCCCATGAATATGTAGCCATGGCAGTCATGAAATAATTTTTAAGAGCCTCATTTGGAAGAAGGAATGAAGGGAAATGGGCTTGGCATTACAGCGACCCTCGCTGCTAAGCCCAGGGTTGGTGTCCCACTTGTAACACGCTGTGAAGGCCTCCCAGGATGACTGAGGGGCCAGGGTTTAGGATGTCTTTAGAAATCATCCTTCTGAGGGCATATAAATTAGAGAGAATAAAGGAAATATTCAAGAGCTCATTTAATTTGCAGACCCAAAGGAGGTCGATACAGTTTTGGCCCCCCAAGACTCAATCGAGTACTTCAGGAGTTCCTCGGTGCCTCGGAAGGGATCATGGGAGGGACTTCTCCCAAAGTGCATCAGATCACAGGGGCTCTGAGGTACCTAATTCCCCTGAGAACTGGAGAATCCAGTGCCTAGAGACTTTTGCAGGACATAACCCTAAACCTTCACCCTGCCACAGCTTCCCACGTGTTACAGCAGAGCTGATGGAGAGGATGCTGAAGGTGGACAGATGCCATTACGCTGGGAAGAGCAAGCAAAAGTCACCAACAAAAATCCCCATCACCTTCACAATTTACCTTCATGGGTCCCCGGATCTCTACTGGGACTTTAGCCTCAGCAGGCAGAGCACTTTTCCCAGGAGCATCTTCCCTCCGAAGGGTTTCTGGGGCTTCATAGAGGTCCAGAAGGGTCAGGAAGGAGTCCCCGACAACTGAGTTCGGTGCCGTCATTTCCTGCGGGCTGCAGCAAGCCCTCACTTCTTCCCTGGGGGTTTTCACAGTAGGAAACATCCTACAAGTTTTCAGCCACTTATCTGCATCCACCTTCCCGCTCCTCTCTGCCTTGCTGCTGCCAAAAGCTACGGCAGGAGTCGCTCCTCTGGCCCCGCTGCCGCAGGCGCCGGCACTGGGCAGGTACTCGCCGTCGAAGCCGGGCATGGCGCTGGCCGCGTGTGGCTGTGCCAGGGCTCCAGCAGAGCTCCCTGCCTCGGTGGGTGCCAGCACCCCCGAGCGCTTCTGGTGGCTCTCCAGGGGCCTTTCTCTCTCCTCGGTGACCGTATCCTCCGTGCACTGGATTGGCAGCGACATGGGGATATCTGTGAAAGAAAGCAAGCAGAGCGGTCACTCCTGGGATGTTTTTAGTGGTTTTCTTTCCCGTCACACCCCCTTTTCCTTCTTCGCTTGTGAAACAACTAGGTGCTACCTCCTTGCTGGCACAACTCGCCTGTCCCCACACTCGATTAAATACGAGGCTGGACCAGCAAAGAAAGTGTCTGAGGACAGAGTTGGAGGAGCGTTAGCTCCCGTAGGAGAGGTTAAGACGTCGCTGCGTCCCCGACAGCCAGGCTGATCCCACTAATGGCTTTTGCTTAGGTCTCGTCTGGAGCCATTTATTTGCGTGCCAGCCCCAGAAGGACGCACAGACATCAGGGCTGTGGGGACAGGAGGCGAGCCCAGAGGTGGGGAGCACACAGGCTGCTGGTTTCACAGCACGGGGCAGCTGTTTGCCAGAGCCAATCCCTCCTGACCACAACACCCACCCTTTGAGGCGGGAAACCTGCAAAACCCTGCGGGAGGGATGTGACTGTTTGGGGGATACAGACAAGGACCACAGTCAAGGGGAGCAGGAGGGAGATTTCTTGGAAAACCAGGGAGGCTGCTGGGGCGAGCCAGAACGTTTCCCCGGGTGGTTTCGGGGCTGTAGAGGCTCCATCACCACCCCTGCATCCCACACCCGCTCCAGGCAACGAGTACCACCTGCCCCACGCTCCTTCCCCCTCTCCCCAGGGGCAAGATGTGTGAATAGGCAGCAGCGGCCTGGGGCGGCTCCAAGCAGACACAGACACAGTTACTCGTGTTTGATGGAGAAGGGGAAGCCAAAAAGCCGTGACAGCCAGCACGGGTTGTGGAGCGTGTTTCTGCCTTAAACCAGCCACACGTTACCCCCACTTCCCGCAGCAAACTTCTTGCCAGCATCAGGACAAAGGTTCAAGTTACACTTGTCAGCCCGGCTCTGCAGTTTCAGCAGCTCCCTCGCCGGCCCCACTGCTTACCCAGGACGGGTCCCTTCCTGGCAGTCAGCTTCTGGAGCAGCTTCCCCTGCTTGGTGCACAGATCCTGCAGCCTGGCGACTTCCTCACAGAGCTGAAGGAATATTTCTTCCATCTCCGTGGTGCCTGATCAGGAGAAAAGCAAGAGGAAATGCCCAGTTGTGTGTTATCCAAAGGCAGCAAGGAGCCACCGAGGTTACCCTGAGCTGGTGGGATGGGGACAGCCAGGCTCGGTCGTGCTGCAGGATCCCTGGAGATCCCACGTGCTCATGCACACGGAGCTGCAAAGAAAGAAGCACTCCCAGTTCTCTTACAGTATACACAGGAAAAAAAAAAAAAAAAAAAAAAAAACAAAAAAAAAACACTGAAAAGAGAAGTGATTCTTTCCGAGTCGGGGGATAACTGAACAGACAAGCTGGGCTTTTCCACTCTCAGCCCACAGCTGCCACGAGCTCAACTCCAAACAACCAGAAAGTCCCATTTATTGAAAAATCTACTGGGAAAAAGTTCTCTTTCCCGTTCACTTAGTACCCAGGGATGTAATTTTTTGTGCGGTGGCATGAAAGCAAACAAACTCCTGACTACTCCTGACTACTAAACCATACAGGGAAGGACATCCAAGCACGAGGGCACAATTCTCCTTTCCTGAGATGTTCAGCCCTGAGCTGCCCCTTCTGCTCTCAGAAATACCCTGCAAATTAAAATCTAGCTGATGCCCACACGGTATGCGTTAACTGAATATTGTTACTACAAAGAAAAATCTCTCTGCGTTGTGTTCAACACATTTCTCCTTGCTTTAACAGCTGTATTGTGGATTAGACTTTCCAGTTTTACCATATTGCACCAATTATTACCAGTCTGAAAGATAATAAATAAAACCAAAGCTCAGTACAAATCTGCAAACCATCTGCAACGTACGTTTTAATCTGAAAGATTTGTGCAATCTCGATTAGCATAAATATGCAAATGGAGTTTGCTTCCTGTCATATTTTCCAGGTTCGCTGCTGCTCAGCGCTGCAAATTTAAGCTCCGGGTCTGTAATTAGGGGCTCGGCTGATCAATTTGATGGAGCCTCCTCTGGTGCTCAGGGCGATGTGGATTCCCCGGTAGGAGCGAAGGGCAGAAATCCCGACTGACCCGAAGGAAACGCACCTGGCACAAGGAAAACTGCGGACAAAATGGTAAGGTTCGCTTCCAGGGCAGGGATTTCTGCGCTTCTCCCACCTCAAACAAGCCGTGATGGTAACTGTGTTGTATTTTCAGCTGTTTGGGTCCCACTGACTCTTAAAAACCAAGGATAAACATTTTGCACCCGCCAAAGCAGCTAGCTCCATTGCCAACATACCGAATTAAAGATTAAGAGGATGAATTTTGCCTGAGAGTTATATATAACTATGCCAATTAATTATTAAGAAGTGTGTGATTTGGAGCTGTCATCCCCAAGCAAGCCCATATTGATTTTGTACGATCCCTGCTGTTTTTTTCAGTAGCTAACTGCTTCTTCATTTCCCGCAAATTACTTTTGTGACACTAGAAGGACGGTGCACTGGGAGATTTTAATCTCCTGCGTAACCTGAAAAGCATTTCACAAATTGCAATTAAAGGAAGCAATCCGAGAACACAAAAATCCTGGGGAAATCAGATGCTGGGGGTTCACCGAGTGACTCGGAGGGGCAGGACCTGCCTTCAGCCGTGTTCTCCCTTGGTGACAGGGAACGGGGCTGGTTTAACGCAGTGAAAAGGCCGTCCCCACCACACCCCCCCGCAACACAGCCCAGCGTGGACCCTGTGAAGCTAAAAAAGCTCCATTTTCCGCAGAAACGCACTTACGCTGGAGGGGGGCCCTCCTTCCCCTGGCCGGGCGAACGCGGCGCAACATCAGGCTCAGCGAGTCACAGCTGAAAAAAAAGCTCAGCAGCAGCAAACTTTGGGGTAGGGAATTTCCCCTTCAGTTTTTGTGCTAAGAGCGAAACCTCTGCACGGCGGCGAGGCAGGAAACAAAGCGGCAGTGAATTACAGGCAGTTGCTGCGCAAACCCAGGGTTTAAATTTAGCTCTGAAAAGCACAGGAGACGATTATGAAGGCCAAGGGTGGCCTCATGGCGGGTGAGTGTTGGCTCCTCTCTGCACCGTGCCGGGCAAGGAAGGTCCCTTTTCTGTGACTCAGTTTCCCCCTGTCTTTCTCTATCAACCTGTTAGTGCTTTAATGTGGAGGCTGCTGGGTATTTGTGCATCTGCAGTGCCCTGCCCGCCTTATCCCCTGTAAGGCAGCTAATAGTCAAGCTAATATCCCAATAATCCAAATTAATACTCACTCTGCTTCAGCTCAAATCCCCCAAATCCTCTGCACAGCGCAGGAGCCAAAGCAAACTCCTCAGCTGGGTGATTAAAACCCACTCAGGGCTCGTCCCTCTGGGAGCCGCTGGGGTTTCCCCATCACCCTCCTGCTTCTCCACCCTCCCGAACTTCTCAACCACAGCCTCCCCGGGGGTGCACGTCTGGGGGCTGCTTGTGCCCCCCCCGTGCAAGAGCCGATGGGCGCGTACCTGTCACATCATCCCTGGAAGGGGCTTCGCGTGGCTGTTTCGCAGCCCCAATGTCTCACCCGGCTTTGCCGGGGAGTTTTCATGCCGGTGTCTAGCAGCTGCTGATCCTCAAGCTGAAGCTTTATGGTGATATCACCATCTAGTGTTAAACACGGGTCTTGAGGACGTGGGAAACGGGGGGCTCGGGGTGGGGGGGCTCGTCGTTGGGGGGGGCTGCTTCCCGTTTGGGGTCTTATGGGCCCGTCCCCAAGCACGGGGTGGGGGGGTGGAGAGCAGCCAGGTGGTGCCATCAGCAGGGCGTTGCGTAGAGACGGACTCATAAGGGACGACACAGACGGGTGGGAATAATTAGTGAGTTCTCGTGTTGATGGTCTTTATAGCGACCGGTGTGATCACAAAAAATATTACCAGCGATTACTGCATCCCGGTAAAACCATCAGTAAATAAACTCCCAACCACAGGGAACAGCTGCCCCCGAGCTGGGAAGGTCAGGAGGCTCCATGCTGCCAGCAGAGTAATTAATAAATAATAATGACAACAAACATGGCATGAACAGAGGAAGAAGCGTGGTTGGAGGGGCTGTCGCACCGTGTCGGGACCTCTCTCCCTGCCACCCGGCGGTCGGGCAGTACCGGACCTACAGCTCCTGGCAGCACCCCCAGTGCCAGGCCTTTACCGGTCCCCAGCACACCTGGGGTCATGCCCCTATGGCTTCTATAGGCTCCTGCGGCTCCCAGCACCCCCAGGCCCTTGTAGCCTCTATAGGCCCCTGTGGCTTCCAGCACCCCCGGCGCTAGGCCCTTGTGGCCCCCGTAAGCCCCAGCCACCCCCTGCCCCTGCGGTGCCAGGCCCCTATAGCCCCTATGGGCCCCAGCCCCTGCCGGCAGCCGCCGTGTTC